TATATGCTAATTTACGTTTGTAAGCCATATAGGCAAGTAAACAACTGTCGTTTTGGGGTATATTTTAAGATTGCACGTCCTGTTCTTCATAGTGATGACTCCCCTGATGAAGTATTCACGATCATAAAGTCGAATGTTTCTTTTTTCATTTGCCAGCGATTATTTTCTTAAGTCTATGTTGAATCTGCATCGTACTTTGTTTTACTGCTGAATGATAATTCGCGGACTCAGGTGTCAACAAACCGCCGGCGATCGGCTGCGATCATATGTGAACAGTTCGATTTGAGATCCTCGGTTGAGTGGACTCTGCGATCGAGCGATCGAGARCGATCGTCTGCGATCGTCTGCAATCATATGTGAACCGGGCTTAAAGCCTTACAAACGTAAATTAGCATATATAACCGTGTGTTGATACTTTTAAACCAGTTATATCTGRAAAAAAACTAAAAAGAAATGCTTTTTCGCTTGTGAAAATCAAAAATATACACGTGTTTTATGGAAAACTGAGCATTGYGGRACACCTTCCAATCTCACGATCGCAGAACTCTGTTCACATATAATCGCAAACGATCGCAACCGATCGCAGGAATAGAACCCGATTCTATTCCTGCGATGGTCTGCGATCGCGATCGCAGACGATCTCAGACGATCGCAGACGATCGCAGAGCTGTTCACATATAATCGCACTCGATCGCCAGCGATCCTCTGCGATCGTCTGCGATCGTCTGCGATCATATGTGAACCAGGCTTAAAGAATCTCAAATATCTCATAATTAGCTAGATAGATTTTTTCAAAAATCCCCACAAATGGAGGCATCCAGTATATAATTGTGGTACGAAGTATTTTAGTGTTGAACGCTCTGCAAGGCTAAAATTATTTTCTAAACGAAAACAAATATTTCATCATAACCACGTGTTATGACGTCCGATCTCACTAAAAACTGCATCAAACATTAATTCAATCTTTATGTGAATATGTGCAGAAAAGATTTGCAATCGGATAAAACACGTTTATGCACCAGCGTTCCAAAAACGGAAGGTAGCGGTCAAGCGTAAGGGGGTCCAGCCACCTTAAAAGAAAATTTCCTATTAGCTCGGCTATCACACACAGTAATTTACGCTATGATGCATATGCTCGAAATTATTTTTCATTTCGTTAATTGGTCCTTCTGCTTTCAAGAAAATATTGAGTTATCTTGAGAATTTCTAAAGACTGTTAARCAAGAATGGTAGTTTTATAATTAGACAAATAGTTGACAGAAAGCATTGAAACGCTAAAAATATACAAAGCTTTTACGGCTTAGACAGAGTTTCGCTTCCGGCTAATTAAATATGCGTGAGCGTCGTTTTCATTTGAACAGAAAATTGGTAAGAGTATGATAAGTCACTATTCTCTTTAGAGTGCAAACAATTAATCCGTGAAACGCTAATTACTAAATAGTACAAAA